TTTTCATGTATACCTTTTATTATTTGTGTACCTTTTTATTTTTTGTGTATTTTCTTTAGACGTCGTATAACTACTGTGGACATATTGTATACCTTTTATTTTTGTGTATTTCTTTAGACGTCATGATCAGGATCGATACAAGAAGGGTAAAGCACGCATTCCTGTCCCTTTTGACTTTGGTGTTGATATTGTAGACAATAAAAATTGGTTCTACAATTTGTACTCAAAAGGACAATTGTTGAATGATTCGGTAAGTAATCACTGTAGTTATTTAGTTATTATTCTTTGTTTTATTGTTATCTAATATTTTTTTTATTGTTCAGCATATCAATGTTATATTTTATTATTTGAGAAAGAAAGCAAAGTATGATGTGGACAGCAGGTATAAATACACAATTGTGGATTGTGTGTTTACGTCCAAAATTTCATCAATTTGGAAGAAGTATGAAGATTTAGATAGTGATGTCTATTGCGCTGCTGAAGAGCATTTTATAGGGGATTACATTAGATGGTACAAAGTTCATGCCGGCATTCCATGGCATTTGGTGGATCATGTTCTTATCCCTGTAAATGTAAAGGAAAAATTTCATTGGGTCTTGGCCGTACTCTCTCTTAATGATAGACGTGTATACGTTTATGATTCTTACAGAGCGGCAGGTCATGATGCAGCAATCAGGAACGAGGTTACCAAGTTGGCTCAACTCATTCCGCTAAGGTTGACTATGTATGATTATTACAAGAAAAGAGGCTTAGATAGATCTGTTAGTCAAGAGGAGAATGAGTTATTTGAGATTGTTTTCATAGACAACATACCTCAACAGACCGGTGGCAGCTTGTAAGTTTTAATAATTCTGTTGGTCAGTTTTAATTTATTTCGTATTTAAATTTTAATTTTATATTCTCATGTGTTATTCAGGGATTGTGGTATTTATATGCTTGCCTTTGCCGAGTGGATGTCTTATGGTCAAGGAAATCCAAGTGGTGCATTTGACGTAATGTTTTTAAGGGCAAGATATGCAACACTTCTTTGGAATTATGCTAAGCAAAAGCAAGACAACGGAGCCATTAGTGATTCTGAGGCACCCCCTAGGCATGCAATGCCTCAATCTGTTCGTGTTGTGTCTGATCCAATTGAAATACAGTAGTTGTGCGTTTGTTGAAGATACTTCTTTGTGTTTTAAAACTAGTGAATTTATGTTTATTAAACTTTTATGTTGCTTTATAATTTGCATACTTATCATTTTGATTAACTTTTATGTAGCAGATAATTCTGCATACTTATCATTTTGATTATCTTATGTTTAGCAGTTTATTCTGCATACTTTTGATTTTGAATTTAGTATATATATATATATATTATGTTAGTTGATTCCATGTGTTGCAATTTTTTATGTTGTATTCATCGTTTTTCTATTACATCATTAATTAAGTCACTTACCTGCAGTTGTATTGTTTATATTAAAATATAATTTATTTTTAAATGTGCTCACATTAGTTGTATTATATAGTGTCAAATATATTTATTTATGAACATTAAATAACAGTTTCTCAAGTCATTTTTTTCAGTCTTATTGCATATACATATACATATTGAAGAACTGGTTACTATATTTTGTATGTTGTATTCATAATTGTAAAATTGTTGTATTACTTGTAGTTGTATGTTTTGTATTAAAATATAATTTTTTTAAAATGTGGTCACATTAGTTGTATTATATAGTGTCAAATATATTTGTTTATGAACATTAAAACACAGTTTCTCAAGTCATATTTTTTAGTCTTATTGCATATACATATACATATTGAATAACTCAGTTTGTTGATATAGAGTGTGATAGGCACTTATATGGAGTGAGCTTACAAACGACTTTTGTTTGTATACAAGTAAATACGCGCAAACGAACATATTCTGATAAAATATTATTCATTGAAAATCATAAAAACATTTCTTACAATAATAAACGATAAATACGAACACATGTACATTTATTTTTCAAAACAAATTCAAACATATCTAACTATTCAGTTCGTGGTCCATTCCTGCATGATCGCCTATTATGTCCCTTTTGACCACAAGTACTACAAGAATTCTTGTTCTTCTTTCTATATAGCTCACTGTATGTTTTATCACGAAGCTTTTTTGGAGGCCTACCAGGTAATTTTTTGAACTTTGGAGGCTTAACTATTTCATGCTCTACACATGTAGGCACATTCCAATCTTTTCGATCAGGTAATGGATTTATTGAATTAGCATATGTAACAAGTAATGTATTTGGCTTGTAAAGGTCTGAACAATACGGTTCAGGATCAAGAAATTTCTTCTTCAAAACAGCCCAGGCGTGCGAACATGGTATTTCATCCACTTGAAATCTCCTACATGTGCAAGTTTTCTTTTCAAGACAAACAATAAATGTTTTCCCCTCATGACGAACACTGTGCACATAATTACTTGTCGCAACTACCTATTACACAAAGTTAAAAGGAAGTTAAATCATACCAGTTATATAATCTTTAATTTTTATTGAATTAAATACAAAATACAACAATTTATTGGCTTGAAATACAAAATACAAAATACAACATACCGTCATACGCAGTGAAAGTTCTTCATTTTCAGCGAGCATTTCTTTTGCTTTACCACAAAGTGTTGTGAATGTATTAGAAGCAGATGTATGGTTTTTGAAATTCCATCGACCAAACATTTGTCTAATTTCCTCAAGAAAATCATATATAGGTAATTCTCTTGCTTCCACAAGGCATGCATTTATGCATTCAGCTATGTTTGATGTCATCACAGTGCCTCGATCAACTGATGCATATACTCTTGCCCATTTGTCATAATCAGCCAATTCCAAATAATTCTTCACCCTAATATCAACATGTTCTACTTTTTTCATAAGTTCATTAAATTCAGAGAGTTTGTATGCCTTTGCCATTGCATAAAACGCTTCTGAAAGACTGTCATGTGACTTTTTGTAAAGTGTCTTCACATTCTTCCAAAGATGAAACGTGCACGCATAATGTGGTATATTGTATATCCTCGAAACTGCTTTTATAATACTCTCGTTTCTGTCGGATACAACACACATTTTATCCTTTAAACCATGAGCTTCTCTAAACTGTTCAAAAAACCAAGTCCAAGATGCATCATTTTCCTAATCAATAAGACCGTATGCTAGGGGCAATATATTTCCTGAACATATAAAGTGCAAACATTAGTATACATATCGTCTAATACGACAAATACATGTTTAAAGAATATAAT